GACTTGTATTTACAACACGAAATGAAATTTATTGATCTCAAGCTGGGAATCTATTGTGCTTAAAGTCTGGATGAAGTTGTAACCATTGGGATCTATTCACTTGTCTCATATTCAAAGGACAGACTTTTTAAAATTCGAATTTATGAATTGCATTTTGTTTCCAAGTTTGAGTCACTGATTAACAAGTGCTTTCTAGCTGCCAACTTGTATCATTTTGCTCTCGTTGCATATTTTGTTATGGATTAACGTAATAGGCGTTAGCTTCATTCTAATTACCGTTGTTTTCATTGAGTTAGAGCAAAATTACATGATAAGGAATTGGGATATCGGAAGCGTAAAGATTATATAAGCCACATCCGTCACTGTTGCTCTTCTCGGGAATTCTGCGTCATGACACTGACACAATTTATTGACAAATTTCTCATGGATGTATATAAATCTCTTTCTCTTAAAACTAGCCGTGTATTGCTTGCTGGTAATTGATTATCATGACGAGATGTTTTTATCCACCTACAGATATTAGCCATATTGTTTCAGTGTCATGGCGCTGAATTCCCAAAAAGAGCAACAGTGACGGATGTGGCGTATAATCATAGCAGTAATATACATATTTGTCAAATAGAGCATCCATTTCTCGCTTTTCTCTCTGCTAACTATGCCAAGCAATATTTTAGCTTGTTATCAATTTTTGTGTGTCCCTGTCAATGATATACCTAATGTCAATGATATATCTATTTCCGTTTTTGAATGTTACGTAGCAGTAGGAGCATTTCTCTCATGGGTTAAATACCCACCAAATTCTGAATAGAAAAATTAATATAAGCTTGCTACCTGTCTGTGTGAAACAGATTGATATATTTTGAAGTATATACTTGTTATTGGCGACCATGTACTTCATGATTTGGCACTTCAAGTCATCGGTTGGTCAACACCACTAATCTTCGGATAATCCCATTCCAAAAACTCATCTATAGCGAAAAATGGGAAAAATGCATCGGATTGCAAAATCCATTCTGTTAAGGTTACCAGTAAAAAGTGGTTGAAACATTGCTTTACCTTATTTATGAGCATCATTTCAATTCTCTGTCAACTCTTCAGACCTCATCCCTGATATCTAATTGGAGTTATGCTTTATCTTAGTTACTGACATTTCATGACTGATAATGTCACTTTTACGGTCTGTACCTCACCCCTTTAACTTGAGCAAAATAGATAAGCAACGAATAGTTGGCAATATAATGTGTTGGTCAAGTTTTGTATCACATTTAAATGTTGAAGGATACCTATAACAGCTTTTGGTAATTAGGTGGTAGAGAGGGAATGGTTGGTAAAAGTTATTTGACCTCTCATATTTCGGTGATATCAACATTTTGTTCTTTTCCTTTTGCGAACTACTTGTTGTTTATCCTTCTGCTAAATTAATGGCAGCACATGTTGTCATTTTGAATGCGCCAAAACGTTCGTGAAAAAATGTTTGTGTTTGTTTTCCCTAAGTAAAAGACAAATTTATTATTTTATAGAGTATGATATTGGCCGTTATTCTGCTATTCGCGATTGCTGCCTCTGTTAAAGTTCTAGTAAGTTTTATTGATTTCCGTGAAATTCTAGAGTCGGTAATTATCTGATGAAAAATTTGGTTATTTAAGTTGATGGTGTCGCTGTCCAGAAATTTCGGAGAAACAACTTTTTACTTTTGAAGTGTTTCAGATTTAAAAAGTTCTTAGATATATTTCACCATGTGTTTTGCACTGTCCTAAATTTCATCGAAGGTAGGATTTGGGATAGAAATAAGTCTACAGTTATTTACTGACTTTATTTTTTTAACTTCTCTTAAGAGATGGTTAAATCAGACGACAGTCAGCTTTAGCTTTTTCGGTTCTAGTTATTTGATTAGAAAAATCAAACTTTCCTACTTTATTTCTTCATCAGTGTCGCGTACTTTTTGGGCTTTTTGCTCTCTTTGCGGATATGTGTTTTGCAGATGCAATTTAATAAAGCGAACTTTTATTTCTCAACCATTTGATTGCATCTGAAGGCTTTGCCTTAAAAAAATATGGAATAACTTAGAAAATAAGTATAAATAAGTTGTCGGAAACAAGTTGTCATTTGAAAATAAAATATGAAAGTAAGTTATCGTTTGTCTGTCATTTTTGTTTGAACTTGAAGCAAAGAACAGATAAACACAGCTTTATCGTCTAAGCCCTTAACCGTTGTACATCCGAAAGGTACCAAAAAAGTAGTAATTTTCATAAAACGAGTCGCAAAGCATAGCTTTTGTGAAAATATTGACTTCATCTTATATTGTTTAATTTCGAGTTTTAGCTGGGATATTCTCTCTCCTTAACTAAGTTCAGGCCATCTTAGATTACACATACTTGTCCTGGTGGCAGATCAGTGTGTCCGGACTCAGCAACTTGTTGTCTAACTGATGCTGGTATTTATGGTTGTTGTCCGGTGATGGATGCAGTCTGCTGCGACGACCTTATTCATTGCTGCCCTCCTGCTACGAAATGTGATATGGTACACGGACAATGCTTACAGGTATTAAATTTCCGTTTGCTTTTCAAATTTGGCAAGTCTGGGAGTTTTCCAATGCAAAGTAATGGAGCAGCAAATGAAAGAGTCTCCACTGAACGATTGATCACTCATCAACATGCCTACTGGCCGATATTGTCAGTTGAACACTGCGCTGTACTTTAGGATTGAGGCTTAGAATGGCTTAAAATTGTTAATAAAGGACACTTAATGCTGTTCACTAGCACTTCTACTTGAACAATAATATACAAAATATAACGAAAGAAGAGGAGGATTTTCACGCGGTTTTGTTATGCCATGATCCTCGTATAGCTAAGGCATTAGTATCGACCTCACGTCTCATTAACATCTGCGCAATCGCTCAATTGTAGCAGTTTCTGTATTTGTTAGAAACTTCAGAGCTTGTAGCAGTTGCCACTTTTATCCTTTGGAAAGATACCTCAGTGGAATTTTGTTTTTGAGTTCTTAGAAGTTTTCCTGCCTCATTCTGCTCTTTTCATGTCCAACATCTCTCTATCAGATAACTACAGCCAAAAATTCGTACCCTTCACTTTATGATGGAATGAATGTTATTTGTTCGTTCCTTTTCAGTTCTAATCAAAAAGAAGTAATTACTTTCTTGTTCTTTCTTCAGCTGCTGATAAGATTGCTTTTATTGCATTTCACCAGTTTAATTCTTTTCTCTCCCTCTATCTCCCCCTCTCTCCCTTCCCTTTTCCTCACTCTCTCTCCCTCCCTCTCTTTTCCCGGCCCTCCTCCTCTCTGTCACCTTTTCGTGCTAGAATTTTCCGAAACAACCATAGCTATGACATACTTCCTTATATCTTCATTGAGGCTCTTTTTTGACAGTTCGCAATCCAAAAATGCTTTTTGCAGAACGAAGTCTCAGTACCTCGGAAGAATAAACAAACCGACCATTTGACTAAGGAAACAAGCATCAAAAACAGGCAGCTTTTGAGAACATTCAACGATGGAAATAACTCATACATTGCTTCCCACACCTGGTTTGTTCATAGAATTTGAAAGTGCTTCCGACTTTGCCTTTATCCTAATATTATGCTTTAGACTTACTCAAATTTTTGAATACTTTGTAACCTGTTTGTGAAACACTTTTATGGATTTGTTTCCAGCTTAAAATCTGTCATTTTTTTTTAGAAGTGATTTTCTCTCAGTGGCTCCAAGTTGAATATCATCGAATGTTTTTCGTAAACTTTTTTCATTTCAAACTTGAATAAAAGGCAGTTCTTATCAAAAACAAAATTATAGTTGCGAAGAAATGCATGGTGGATCCTGATGATAAACTAATACTGCGCGAAAAGTTGGTGGTAATTGTTTTCATACTTTTGTATCTATATTAAAATTCCTTTCATATCATTTTCTGGGTTTTTCTAAGTTTTTGCAAATTATTTCTAGCTTGTCCTTATATTGAAATAACCAGAAATTTAGAAGGCAATAGAGTGATTCCTACTTTCGTAATGTTTGGCACTCTTTTTTTCTGAAAATTTTCTTATGATGTTTCTTAATTCCGTATTTATGTGGAAGGAGATGAAAGCCGTGTTTTTCATTTAAAAATTTGGACTCGAACTTTTTCACCATGAAATGCAAACGTATGTTAACCTACTTCAATTTTCGTTTATTAAAACAGCGTGGGCTGAGTGTCTAATTTAAATTGCGGAATGTTTTATTCTTCATATTTTGATACTCTCGCACCATATTGTAAAGGAAGAATGCTTATCATTCATGAATTATATCGATAAATGGTGAATGCATATGTGAGCTGGTATTTCTATAATACTTTAAAAAGACCTATGTGCAGATCTGTTGATCTCTTGATCAATATGAATATTTCGGTTAATGCATGATTGCATGATTGGATTTTGCGAATTGACAACGTAGAGTAACCAGTTTTTTTGTTTTTAAATCTCTTCAAATTTGCAGCGAACTTTGGTTTCTTTTTATGTTTTTGGAAGCACTTTGATTACAGGGAGTATGTTACACCGCGAGTTGTTGCCCTGTAGATTATCGGTGAGATGAATGCGAAAAATGATTGTGGGGAAGAGAACCCTTGTCTTCGAAATTGCTCTCTTTCATTTCATTATAGTTCCTTCACTAATAAAAAAGCCAGACGCTTCATCTTCCTTTCTTCAGCATTGAGGGACTCGAGACATGGTTCTCATCCGCCTCATACTGACTTCCTTTTATTAAAAAATGAAAAAATTTTTAGTTGCTCAGTTATTTTTAAATTTATTTAAACATACCACATATTCAGAATTTTCGATCAAAGCTTTTTTGTTTGATTCTGCAAATGTGACAGGTTTTGTTGGCTTCATTAAGAACTTTTCATCAGGAATAGTCATAGTTGTTGGTTTATAAGTTGGTCGATAAAGGCTTGGAAACTTCTATAGCTTTGTAAAATGAATGTTTGAGATGGAACGATTTGTAGAGAAAAAAAAAACTGGTTATTTAGTCAATTAAGAGTAACGATACTAGATTTTAATCATTTTTTCAACAGTTTCACTGATTACATTCTGACAAAAACTATTATATTGCGAATTGCTGTAGGCCTCACTTCAGAATTTAGCATGTTGTATATATCCTGATGTCCGCGACTATGAGTAGAGTTACTGGGCGTAGAGAGTTATTAAGCACTAAAAAAACGGATTAAGTACAAATCAGTCTTCTATTTTAGTTGACGAATTTCATGAGTCTGCTCTGTAATTGACCCCTTCACTGCAGAGTGCATGAATTGTCACAACGAAAATGGCGTTCTTCTGCTATCGTTGTGATATTGTCAAGTGTTTTCCATTCAATCCATTCAATATAGCAAAAATTTCTGTTAGATCCATATTTCGCAACTATCTTTGCTAAATACCGCTGCCTCTGCTCATTCCACTTGTTTTTTTGACAACTGATGTCTTTTCATACAAACTTTCTCTGGAATCTTTTTCATAAAGTTATAAAGAATGACTTCATACTTAGGCCGATTCAAAGCTCAAATTTCATTTTCTTCCCTTCGTATTGTTATGTTTTAGACAGTTGTTTTATATATGCTATTTCTTTTATATAGTTTTAAAGTGACCATAAACACTTATAACCACAACTGTATCTCTAATTGGTGCAATTAATGATGCATGATTGTTATTTTTATTGCCCAGTGATATAGGAGGCAGTCTCGTGATATGAGAGAGAAACGCTTTAATGCTGCAACTGTTGTTGAAAATTTCCAAAAATCAAATAATTTTTTATCGATAAGAAAAGAATAGTAAGTAGTCATCATATAAGAAACATATGAAAATACTAATTTGCATTCTTAGAATAGGAGTTGACGAATTTTATAAGCATAATGTAGTGGATGAATTTAGCACCTTGACGCTTTCATAAATACACTTTTAACTCTGAAATTAGAATTAATAAGATTCCGGTATAAGTGGGTAATTCAAGTTTTTAGGATGAATTGATTGTGGTGGAATCTTATCACTCGAAGCGATGGGTGTTTCAAGAAGTAATCGGTAATCCGACACATAGTATATGAGGTTTCGGGACTTCACATGAAATCTATTTTTCTAGTTGTATTGTGCCAGATGAACTCAGAGTTGAACTCCAAACAGTTCATTACTTTTTTGAGGCAGTGGTGCTGAAATCAGCAGTACATTTATGTTTTCGCGAAGAAACCTAAAAACAGAAACCTTTCCAGAGGTTACAAGTCTTCAACAGGCGAATTGAAGTGAATAAAGTATAGCTGAAAGAGGAAAATAAATTGATAAAAGTACTTTTGGCGTGAACAACGAACAAATGACTGATGTCTTGTGTTGCTACTGTTGTTCGAATATCTTTTAACCGCCGACGACTGTTGTTTATGGGGTGTTGATGTTTTGTTTTTTCCAAATTTCAGGAATAATCCGTCCACTAAACTTGGAAGTTCATATTGCGACGTTGCTGAAGTTGGCAGTGATATTGCTGTTGTTTCGTGATACGTGTTATCTTCATCAACAGAATGGTAATAAATTGCCGCAGGAGGCTGCAAAATAGATAAAGGCGACTTGACGATTGACGATGGAAATAGTTGAAAATTTTTGATAATCTAAAATTTGTTTTTCAAGGTAAAACATATCTCAAAAAGTTAATTATCGTGAAGCATCAAACTATTGACATTCAAATTCAGTTCAAAGATGAAATATTTATAGTAATTTATGAAATTCCTCAAAGGCAAGACATACAATATCTACTATTAACCAGGAACAAATGAAATCTCTTTTTCCAGGTAAAGCTTAAGGTTATAGAATTTTATAACAACTTGGCACCTGTTTATAACCTTGAACACTTGTAGGTTTTAAAATCTTCGTATACCAGGGACCAGCACCTGTTTCATTTGAACAGTAAAGTTGAGTGTTATGCCTTTTCAAAGGTTTTAGCTGCAATTCAGATAAATATTAGTGGATGTTCGGGCATCGTGAAATTTTGTTTCGTACTACTAAAGGCGGTATATTTTCCTAAAAGGGAAGTGATATATGCATGTAGTCTTATATTACACAATACTTCAACATGTTGCCGTTAGAGATTCACATAGAGAATAATTAAACCAAACTAGTAAACAAATATAAGCATACATTAGATGGATTTGAATTGGCATTTGGAAGGAAAATGTTGTTAAGTAAACTTTCAAGGTCAATAGCTAATCGTTGTATGGATAAACTGCCGCATGTGTGGCAGTTTTTTCGAAGTTTCTGCACATATTCTCTTGCATCACCTGTCATTTCAAATATCTCACGAATGAGTTTAGCTTGCTTCTGTATCCGTACCAATTCATTTCGTTTTAAATTCAATTCCACTTTGCATCGCAATAATTCATCCTCGGCCTAAAATTGCAGTTGTACTATAGTTCCTGATCAATAATTAAACGAAATATAGTGAAGAACACTCGCTGGGTTCATCTTATCATTGAATCTGTTGCTAATTCCACTTCTGCTAAGAGCCGTTTTAACTTAGTAATGTATGCAGTTACGTTCGTTCTTTCATTGTCAAGACTAGTATGGTTAGAGCGTTACAGCATGTTAAATCCAGATAATTATCATTTCTGCTAGTTTTCGATTAAATACTATTGATTATTGATTGACCTCTCAAGGTTCTCTTATCTAATAAGCAAATGAACCAACTTTTTGCAAGCAGAACTTCTCATTAATTTCGGGATCCCTCGATTCCACATTTGCAGCACATTGTATACCTCGTCGGATCGTATCACCAACTGTCATCTAAACTGGACTGATGAAAGTGAAAACATGAAAATCTTTGAAATTCAGGAAAATTTGATGAAAAACTACATCGGGGAAATAATATCTACTCCATACTATGATACTTATTAAGCCCAAATATCCTGATAGATCATCTTACCGGATTTTTCGATAAATATCGAACCGCCTTAAGAAGTTTCTTTCGCCCAGAATTATCGATACCAATGCACTAAAAACTACATAAAAGTAAACAAGATGGTAAAATCTTAAATGAAAAACTCAATCATTATCTTACTAGACGCAACGCGATAACGTTGTGCGTCGTTTCCTGATCAGGATTATTTAACTTCTCGGTCTTTTATAGGCTTTATTTCGAAGTGGTCCACAGAGCATTTCATTTTTTCGTACAGCTTCAGCAATTTCGAACATACACCATTCCATATTTATATGTTAATATTAGTCATGCTTAGTAGCAGATAACTTCGAAAAAGAAGCATTGCAAAACAGTATAGGAAGAATTGGTTTGCAAGTGAGGGATAATAACGAAAACCATCTAAAAAATATTTCCATGTGGTACATACTTCTGATATCAAAAATATGTGTATCAATAGTTTGAAGGTGCTAGGTTTGCAAAGAATCATGAATGGTACATACCTTCAGATCAATTTCTCTTAATAGCTTTAAGGTTGATGCTTGAAGGATATTCGCTTTCTCAAAAAATGGTAAATACTCAGGCATATTTAAAATGAGTAAAACTTCCCCCATCGTTCTGGCACGTTTCAGTTTCTCTTTGGTCGACATTTCCCCAAATAAAAACTTAGTGTAATTTTTGAATAGCAGAAAATTTCGAAAATAATTTCCACTAAGTAGGATTAATATGCAACCGCTCTCTACTCCCGAATAAATGAATAAGAAGAAAAAGAAAACACAAAAATAATAAAGAGTGAGCAGTACATGTCAAAAAATTGTTCCCAGTATTGAGAGTAGACGAACTCCATGTATACATTTATTCCCTCCAATTTCACCTTTTCTTTGCTCTCCGCGTGCAGAATTAATTTCTTTTTCTACCGGTTAAATTGGTCGAAGCGTTATTTTCAGATATTTTAAAGATGTTATGCTTTTCCAAAGTTCCAACCACATATTGGGCGGCATGACAGTTTTAGAAGATTCTTCGTGTCTTCGGTGATTTCAAATATTCAAAATAAATTCATTGCTCACATTTAACCATTTGACCATTTTATCAATTCATTGTTAAGACTTAAACTTGAGAAGGAACAAACATATCCGTTGCTTCTTTTTTAACTAATATAATTAATATAATTTAATATAATCCAATAATCACTATTATTCAATCCAATTTACCTGGTAAGCCAAGAAGTTGGAAATTATTCTTGCTAAGGCATCTTATCACTTGTACTTTCTTCGCATGCCACTACCACTCTATCTGCTTTATTGCGTCAAAAATCAGATCATCCGAGCCTTCATTAGTCCTTCCCTCCCGCTAGCTACGGCCATTGCTGTATTCGCAAGGTTGCAAGCACGTTGTCTCTTCTCGTGGTTTCACTTCTATCTCAGTTGTAACTTAATTATCGATCGACTCCTGCTGCTCATTACATTGAAAACAATTCTACGAATTGTCTGAGTGATCATCAGCCATTAGATGCGATTGGATTCTTTGGAACTTGGAACACAACGATTCAACTATTTGTCTGAATTAGTTACACATCCATGGATTTTCAATAATTTTACTCATACCCATCCACCTCATCAATATAAAATTGCTCTTCCAATCAATACATCCGTGCAATATATCGAATAATAAACTAAACTAATCACTTTTTTCTTTTCAATTACTCGTCCACAAATAAATATTTCCTTAGCAGCACGGAAATCCTTATTTGTTTAGCAAAATGAAAAATTTTGCTTGTATCGAAGCAGTAGCAAAACATTTTTAAAATAGAAATTATATGCTCCCTTCTATCAATAATGAATGACAAAGTTCAATCACAAAAGGAATCGATTTGAGCTACAGCCTTATTTAGGACATCTTATTGCAACTTGACGGCGTCGTCTATGTAGCGTGCGGTATTAATGAATAATAAATCATTTACGATAAAAACAGTGAACTCCGAGGGCCATGTTTTTGCATCAATCATATGTTACGAAGGCCACTTTTTTTTAAAAGTTTTCATTAGATTCACATTTTCCTTGCCATAAATTCAAGATTAGAAACTATAAGAGATGTATTAGACGATATTTATTTGTTCTACAATACCAAACGCCTGCGCATAACATTGTAATGAACTATTCTCAAACTGGTACCAAGTTGATAGACACCCTATACAATTTCCATTCGTACGCTATTTGCAATTATATTTCCGAATTTTAATTTCAGCAATTATTCACTTTAAATGAATAAAACACTGTCACTGCTGTTGGTGATTACAGTTTTTGTTCCCGTTTCGTATTCTATCACGTGTTACAAAGTAAGTCATTTTGAAGTACATCAGCAAAAAAGATCACATAGCAAATACAATTCCTCCATTCGTTCCGCAATTTTCCGTCACAAATAGCTGACATTTTACCTTGAAAACACGATAGAACGAAGTTCAATGTACTACGCTTCAGTGAAATCTGAAAGCTCCTAGCTGCGGCGTTATCCTGGCATAATACTGCTGAAATGTTGATAATTTAAACTGAAATAATAAACTGAGCAATCAGGCAGTAACTAATATGCACAGGCTGAATCTCCTCAATTCAGGGATTTCAAATCATTCAAGGCCAAATATTTGGTACGGAAACCGAAGAATGCGAAAATGAAACGGCTTACTGCTATAATATGACCGCCGAAGCTGCATTAATTTTCAAGATTATGAAGGCTGGTTGCTCAACATATAGATGCATGGTAAATCTTTTATTTAATGGGAATATATGTTGAATCCGAAGATGAAATCGGAGATCAACACATGTAATATACTAAATTTCCCGGAACCTCCCGTGTCCCTGAGATCTAGCAAAAAAACCGTTTTCTTCAATGACTTCAACGGAACTTTCGGGAAACACCACAGTTCAATTTTTTTTAGTTGGCAGCGAACGTATGCAGGAGTATGACTTTTCAAGGTGTACCTGTCAGCTTCTGTTGCTGCAACGAACATGATCTTTGTAATTACAGCAGGGAATAAACTTTGAATAGAGTTTTTTGAAGATATGAAAATAACACATTATGACAAAAACCCATTATCACTACTGTGCCAATTAGATACTTTAGATACTTGACTAGAATATGACTAGAATATGGACACTTGATTAGATGAAGTATAAAGCATAGCTGAATTTGTAAACAAGGGACGGAATGACGTCTCAACATATGACAAATACCGGCAGGAAACTTCTAGACAAAAACGTGGAACAAATGTAAAATTACAAGCGGGTGGCAACAAATGTAAAATTACAAGCGCAAACAGAACTTCGGATAGGAAGTCGTTGTAGTTCGGATGTCCGGAGGGAAAGTTAGGGAAAGTTCCCTAACCTATGCATTTAAGAATCTTTATATTATTGGTGTTGGACATAATCTTATATAAACTACAAGTACTAGGCGGTAAACCAACTAAGTTTCATGATCATGTCTTCCAACGTGAATGATATAAATGCTGCCCATAATGAAACTGAGAGGTACAATATGTTTTCGAAGAATCCACTGCAGGCTTGTTGAGTGTGGAGTTGTTTGAAATGAAGTGACATCACAACATGAATGATGAAAAAAATTAATGTCACATCATAATTTGTTAAATGCAAGCTGTCATTAAAGTCACATCATAATTTGTTAAATGCAAACTGTCATTATAATCACATCATAATTTTAACACTGAATTCAACATTCCCTAAGAAATATATGCTTCTGTGGTCATCGGATTAATCCTCGATGTTTCTCTTCCAAAATTATTGTCATATTTTATTTGATAGTTTCAGGGAATTAGTTGTCAGAATTTGTTATCACTCTCACTAAGAAATGTATTTTCTCTACTACGAGATAAAACAGAGTCGATCCTATCGCCAAATTACATCATTACATCAAGTGCTCCTTGTCGAATTACCAAAATTAAAGCTATTTTCAAATGAAATGCCTACAATATCTAACAGACAGAGTGATGAAATCTTGTAAAATTAAAGCAATGAAGAGGATATAAGTTAACAATGGACAATACAACACAAAAATATCTCAGTATCTACACCATGGACAATGATATTCATTATATTTACACAATAGACAATACCAAAGGGCAGCCATACCTCCATGATAACTCCGATACAGCTTACAAAACTCCTCCCTAATCCTTATATATATAAGAAAATGGGAAAAAGTTTTTATAACCAAGGAGACGTTACATCCTCATCGCATATCCTCTCCAACTAAACCACAAACAACGACATCTTCGCATATCCACCACCACTGGACAACAAACTATGATATTCTTTCTGTTCGCTAAATACATTTCCCGTATCCCCAACTCAATGCCTATCAACTAATCGACA